AGTGAAGGCTTACTCCCTTCTCTCCATCCACAGTCTACATCTCCTTGGACTGTAGGTTTTGTTTTCTTGACACTCCAGGGGTTCATGGGGCTAAAATATTAACTAAGCACTCGTTCACCCACTTCCCCATTTTCAGCCACACAAAGTTGTTGTTGTCCTTATTTTAAGAGAAGTAAGGGGAGGTTGATTAACTAAAGATTAACGCAAAATTTTCTCTCTTTAAGTTCCAGAAGACCAGCTGGTCCCTGGTAGACGTGTATTAGCCAGATCTTTGTCCAACCAGAGGAATTACGATCCAGGATTTGTTTCGTCGGCCATGGAGGTCATGATATATGTTCAGTTTGATAATGCCAAGTCCTGGTTTTATGATGTAAATGACCTTACCGCCATGGTCCTGGACAAGGATCCTGACCCCAAAGATCTAGTTGTCGGCACACAAGTGGTGGCCAGGCGTCCAAAAGAATCTGCGCATTCCGAGGGAAAAGTTAAACGGGAAAAAGAGGAGAATGAGAAGAAAACATTTTTGATTGAATTTTGGGATGGCGTGGAACACTGGAACAGTTTGGAACAGATTCGCATTCTTACCACCAGCAGGCCAGGAGGTATTGGAATTGTTCATATACTACATGTTGAAGCCATGTTGTTGGTTTATGTTGGCGTAATATTAATCGGCATAGTGTAAATCAATGTTGCCATAACACTAGCACTCGCATGAATTTTGCGAGTTTTCTCACCTTTGCAGTGGTCAGCATGTGTGAATCCTTCACATTAAATACACTGGGTTGGGTGAGGGAAAGTTGTTGACAATGGTTTTTGTAAGGTGCCATGAAAACCTTTACGAAACTGTGTGTTTGTGCGTTTACTAACTACAGTCGTGATATAAGACGCATGGAACTTTAATAGTTCTACAAGAAAGGGTTCTGCAAGGCATTTTTATACGTTGGAAGAAAGTCATTAGAAGTAGTCAGACGACTAAATTGTCACCTTGAGTGTAAAAAGAAAATGCGAGAGAGGNTGATACTAAAACAATTAGACCCTTCGCCCTCAAGGGCCACGGGTCAATAGCCCATTCACCTAACTATTGAACCGTAGCCTTCACGGGCTACGGGTCTAATTGTTAATTAGTAATCCCTCTGTGTGTTTTTCTCCTTCAGTTCCAGAAGGTGTGTTAGATGTTGGCACAGTAGTGTGGGCACATACTTCTAAAATACGGTACTACCATGGATTTGTGTCATACAAGGGAACCAAATTGCACGTTGACTTGTATGATGGAGACAAATTTGTTTACGGAATGAAGGATGCATCACGTAGGGTCATTCCCGATGTGCCACCAAAAGCTGCTGACATCAAACCTGGAACAAGAGTGATAGCCAAATTCAAGAAGAAACCACGGTATTACAGTTCTACAGTGATGAAAATAGATGCCTCCGACCCTAGTGAACCAAAGTACCATGTAAAGCTTGATGATGGCGATGAGACATGGGATTCACTTTATCAACTAAGACTTCTACCCAAAGAGGTTCACGTTGAAGGTACTCTTGTTGCGATGCAACAGGCCATTTGTGAGTTATCTTTTGCCTCAAAAAGAAACCTCCATTCATATCAAAATGTATTTCACCTACAGATTCATTTTCATACAAATCAAAGTAATTTTCAAATGAAAAGCTTTGCACGAGGACTTGGACCTCGGAAATGGCCTATTTTGAGGCAAAGAGCTACAATAAATTCGTTCAGCTTTTTTTGTCTTCTCTGCAGCTCAATCCTGATGATGCTCACAGTAGCGTTTTTGCATTATGTTTCTTTAGGCGAGGAGAAATCTCCAGATCACATTAATGCCAAAGAGGATGCTAGCAGTAACGCCGAACTGGTAAAATCTTGTTTAAAGAGCTATGAATGTTACTTATCAGTATGTTACAAGCATGATTACAGATACCTGTATATCGTCAGTACTGTGATCAGACGATGCAGAATGTCAGCCAATAGGAAGGTTTGATTCAAAGGGAAGTTTACTTTCATTTGTACATGTATCTCCCAGGGTCAGTAAATGAATCTAGTCAAACACAAGTAGATCATTTGTTCATGATATATTTTTTCAGTTGATGTTTGAAATGGAAGGATTTGACATCAAGTTAGAGGGTATGTTTGGCGGCCAAGTCATTCCATTGCTATCTGTTGATGGGTCCATTCAAGGAGAAGTAAAGAATTGGTCTTCAGCAGTAAGTCAAAGCAGGGAGAGTTTTGCAAGAAATATTAATAGAAATTTTAATGTTTAAGTTTCTGCTGTAACTCTTGAGTGCTGAATTGGTCTTCAGCGTTAAGTCAAAGCAGGGAGAGTTTTGCAAGAAATATTAATGTAAATTTTCATGTTTAATTTTCTGCTGTAACTCTTGAGTGCTGAATTGGTCTTCAGCGTTAGGTCAAAGCAGGGAGAGTTTTGCAAGAAATATTAATAAAAATTTAATGTTTAAGTTTCTGCTGTAACTCTTGAGGCTGAACACACTTACGTCTGTTTTGTTAATTTTAGTTGTCAGTCCATGCAGGAGTTGACGTAATTGGAAACTACTTTAACGAGAATGTGTCTGAATGGGAGCCTCTTATTGAACCAGTGGAAGATGAAAATGGTGTTTATCGACATTGGGAACTCAATCTTGACGTAAGATAACTCCTGCTCCTAGAGAATACATTTTTTGAAACAGAGTAAATCATTTTGTTTTAGGAGCCTAAAATAAAGCGAAATTCAAGCTAGTCTGTTAGTTAAACTGATCGTAAATGCACTGCCTCTTTCTATTACGATGGTACTTTATTACTATTGGAGATTTAAGGTGGCTCAAAACAATTTTCAGCACTTAGATTTTGATGGTTCGTTGATAACTACTCTTTATCACTTGACGCTACAATCATGGTATCAAAAAACTGCCCAGTCATTGGTAAACACCCTGTTATCATTTTCGTGACACAATGGGTTACCATAGCAACAGTATGACCTCCTAAAAATGCCCTTAATTACAGCTTTTGGGGCTCATAATTCAAAAACAGCACGGTGAAATGTTTTTACATTATCAACTTTTGATAAGCATGATAAGACGCAACTTTTGGCAAAGTTTAAAAGAAATTCTGTAGGTAGAGTTTAGAGCCACCCTAAATTTTCGAAAATTTAAGGTGGCTCTGAACCCTATTTAAGTGTTGGAAACTGTTTTGAGCCACCTTAAGTGAACGAAGCCCTTCAGAATATCACCACTGTTGCTGGATTACACGGTAGTCTGTTCATGGTCTGCTTCCTGTGTTTGTCAAATTAATTTTGACAAACATGTCTCCTTTGAAAAGGAAACGTTGAATCCACCCTGGTGCAGACGTTCTTTACTGAGTGGTGTAGATAATGCGACTTTTCAAACCTCATTGAAGGCGTTCAAAAATTTAAAAAGGAAGATAATTGAAGTGACCAATTTTAGCTTGTGAAGATAGAGAACAAAGTTGACGTCTCGTTGTGCTTGAGTAAATATTAAAGCTCCGAGACCAGCTCATCTGTTATGAGCCGTTTCTTTTTTTTTTATTGTCATCCATTTTTCTTTTGTGCTGTGTGATGTTACCCCAGGTTTCACTGGCAAATGGTGGTAGTGATAGTGATAGCAGCAATTTGGATGAAAGTTCTGAAGCAGCCATGTCACTGGCAGTTCGATCAAAGGATGAGTTGCAGCTGACGGTGACAAAAACATGTCTGGATGTCTTCACTAAGCTTGGAGCAGTACGTGAAAAAAAATGGAATTTATTGTTTTGTGTATGTTAGTGTTGTGCGTGTTACCCCAGATCTCAAGGTACCTTTTCACATCTGTAGGCTTTTAAAGAGGCTGTTACTCTGGAAGGCACAGGAGTGGTTGCTTTGGAGGATGTTCCACCCTTTCAGATATGGAATGAGGTTTGCAATTACTGGTTAAAATCCTTGTCAATCATTTTTTGGTAATCTGACAAGCATCTTTTCTTGTTTCTTGGCAGCTTGGCATGGAAGTCAAAATTCGACCGGGAAACAAGTTTCAAGTACGTTATGCAATTGTTGTGTGAATTATTTTCTGTATTTGTGTCTTTGTTTAATTTGGTAAATTTAGCAGACACTCGGCTGCTTTTTGATTTGAACAGCAGAATGAAAGCTTTGTTCAAATTTAAGAAATGTTTGCCTGGTTATTGCCAAATGATTAAGCTGCTGATTGCTTTCTGGCAGTGGGTGCTTGCAAGCATAGAGAAAACTTTGATTTGTAATTTTTTTGTGGTTAACGGTTGCCCATTATAAAATGTTTGAATTTTCATTAATCAAGCCACACCAAATTTATTTCCCGCATGGAAAATATGCAATATTACTATCCATTGGTATCTAACCCTTTGATTCCCAAAAGAAATATAGTCTTGGGTTTCCTTTCATTGTGAAGTAGACAATCGTTAAGAGTAAATAATCAACTGACGGACTTGCCAAATGGCAAATTTTCAAAGCACATTTGAAAATTGTTCTAGCAGAATCTTTGGCATGAGTGCATTTTGAATTTTTTGTTGGCAGCAGCTTGCACACTTATTCACGTGTTTCTTTTATTCTAGACTCCAGCTAGTGCTGATAAAGATGCCATGGTTGCAATTCCCCCTGGTCAAAGCCTTTCCCTTCGATTTGGCAAGGGAGTTGACAAACGAAGCAGCAGATTTGAGAGAGGGAGTAGCGTCTCTGGTGTGGGACCAAGCATTGGTGTCGAGGTGAGACTAGTTGTCCGTTGAAGCATTCCAAGTTTAGGCAGGAAAAACGTTGCAGTCTGTAACCAAAAGGATCGAGTAACATAGTGGTACATCGTAGTGAGGACACTCGAACCATGAACGTGAACTATGAACAGTAAAACTGCTATTCGTTTTGTTTATTTGAAAAGCTCGTATTGATAAATTATAAATAATAACAGCTTTATTGAAGTGTCATTGAAAAAACGCACAAGCCTAAGAAATGGCCATTGTTCGTGGTTCCAGTGTTTTTACTGATAATTTGTAACTTGTTTTTGTTAATGGCCAATTCCCTCTATGAGACGAGCCTGCAGGGAATCATGGTAGTTGGATTCATCATCTTGGACAGGATATTTGTTTTGATGAATCCAACTACCGTGATTCCCTGCAGGCGCGTCCCATTGATGCAATTGGCCTTTGAAGGTCGAGCCTCAGACTGGCCAATGGAATTTGGAGAGCTACCAGAGAGGATTAAACGACACCAATAATGGAAGATCAAACTCATAAGAGTCTGCTATGAAGGCAAAAAATGGACAAATCAAAGAATATGAACTTGAATCTGAGTTTGAATCTGCTAGGTTAGACATATAAGATGTGCATCATTGCTGGTCAATAGAGCATCGAGGCATTTTTGGTAGGACTTTAAACGTGTAATTTAAAACATTTTTTTAATCACCAGGTGCAAGGCTATCATGAACTGAAGACCATTTCTGTAAAACAGGCACGAGTTATTTTGCACAATGTCGTTCCAAAAAAGGTAAGAAAGACCAATAAGGACATGCGGTAATGACTCATTATCTCTTAATGTAAGTGATTTTTTTACATACAAAAGCCCTTAATTTCAGTGAACTTTGTTTTAAAGGCTAATGCCGTTCATTTCTGTCAGTCAATAACAAGCAGTTCGCATTTGGAAGAAGGATTCTTGAAAAACAGGAAAATTAACACCAATTCCACTGCATGAACTACCTAATTCACATGATTACCAATCTTTTCTAAAAACTTGTTGGACAATGAGGAATTAAAATATCTGTTGTCGTTAAAAATGAGTTGGTGATCAAAATGATGTTAAACTAGTTTGAGTTGCATTTGTCTTTGTTCCAGATTGATTACCATACTCCCTATCCAACGAAAAATACATATCAAACTAGTTTGCAATCATTTTGGTTCTGTCGTGATTGCAAATCCTTTTATTTTCCATTTGAGGAAGAATACAATGATCTTTTAATTCAAAAGTATTTGAAGTAACCTATTATATTTTTAATCTTAATTCTGTAAACCATCGAACTGAATGTTACGATATATTAACGTGACTGAACCATTGGTTAAGGTTTCTCCTCAATCTCAGTAGCCAGTATAATGTTATTTTATATTTCCGAAACTTGTCAAAGTCTTTTCATTAACCCTGTTTTGTCTGGTTAATAAATCAAGTAAAAAGCATGCAAAAATTGCTATATTTTCTGTATGATTTGTAAAATAATAGTTTGAAAAAACACATTACCAAGTAAAAATAACAAAGTTCGAGATTGTTTTGATAATTCTTAGTTGACTGGCAGGCTTTCAGTCATAAGGTTTAAAAATTAAAAAAAAGCAATAGAAATAAAAATAAAACTTATTAAGAGATAATGAGATTTGAAAAATTACGGCTTGTACAAACAGATAACGATGGTTGTGTTGTTACATTGGTTTTAATCCAAATAGTTTCACATTTTGCATGTCACTAATACAGTTATTTAAACGTTCATTTCATAAGTGAATATGACATGTGACCTCATTCCCAGACATATCCTAGCTGTGCCAAACGAAATGAATAAAACCGCTATTACAAAGTTAACAACAAAAATACAAAATTAATTTTTACCAGTGGTCCTCACCATAAACTTTTATGCATGCTTAGTTAGTATTCTTATATTTCAGTTGGTAGAAAGCATCATATTATTGCCAGAAATGAGCACCATAAATGAATTGGTACTGGTAACGGATGTTGACCCAGATAAGGTGACGGGCAAGTACTGTAAATAAGCGGGCCTCTAAGGCTTCGTTCACACTTGGTGCCGGAGCACTGGTGACTGGGCACCAGCACAAAATTGTGTTGCGTTCAGACGCTGGTTCTCTAAGTACCCAAGTACAAGGTGGAGACCTTGCACCTGGTCACACGTACTGTGCCCGAATTCTGGAGTTTAATACTTGGAACAAGGGTGTCTTCACATCAGTTCGTTTTGATATATTTATTAATCAGTAGTAAAACTAGCAACCCTTGTGGCATTATAGTTGTTGAAAATGGAATTCCTAAAACAGGGTTCCCACTCCACTGATAAGAAATCAGTGGGGAAATATTTTAGGGATTCCATTTTCAACACCTATAATGCCACAAAGGTTGCTAGTTTTACTACCGATAAATAAATATATTAAAACGATTTGATAAATGAATATATTAAAACGAATTCTGGTGTTAATACTTGGAACAAGGTTGTGTTCACATCAGTGCCCAGTGAGAATCGTACTCTGGCACCAAGTGTGAACACAGCCTAACACAAACTGGCTTTCTTTCTAAAACTCTTTTCTGGGCTCAATTCTGGCTTTTACTCCTAACCTTATAAACATGTCTTTATTTCAGGGGTTGTTGGTACAACCTTTTCATTTGTCTTGCCGCTGCAGTGATAATCGCATTTCCTAGGCATATCGTCATTATCATTTTTGTTACATTGCGTTGTGGTGGTGTATTTTCATCATGTTTTTTTTTTTGTTTTTTTTGTTTTTTAAACTTTTTTTTTCTGCAGTTTTCAGTGTTATTTTGTTCTCTTTTCGTTTTTTTTTCTTTATTTGCTGACCTGCTTATTGTTTTGCAGGACTTTTACCTACTGCTGTATACAATGATTTTAAATCACTTCCCCCGCCAAATGTGCTTAATATCGAGCAAAATCATATTTTAAATATTCATTCTTCCATTAGCTTCTTGCAGGATTAATTACGTCAGTTGTTGTCCAAGTTGAGAGTGGAGATGGTCAGAGAACAGTAACCATACGGTCGCCTTTACAGGTCAGTACACATTAGTGGTTTGCTCAGAGCTAAGGTGTAAAAATCGAATATTGTCTCCCTGTAACAACAGCCATTATTGCGAGGTTTTTGTTATATCAAACTGGAACATGTTTCCCTTGCTTTGCCTTTCCTTTATCTTCCCTTCACTCACTGTAAGTCACCACAGGCATCTGAAATTCCAATCCCTTTGAACTTCTGTATCAGTGTGGAGAGTCTGTGGGATAAATGATCACCCTGATCATAAACAACATTTTATTTCAACTCATAGTTACAATGTACATTATAAGTTATCGGCAACAATTAAATCAAATATAGTACTGGCTGCCCGCAATAACCATAGGGGTGGGGCTAGTGGAGCCAGGCTGCCAATAGACCATATTCCTATTCTCGGTATTGGACTGGAACTAGCTTGCAACTGAGGTTAATGCGTGGAGTCTTTTCAAATGCAAATGACATTAATCTCTTTTTAATGATATCCTCCCGTATGAGCCTCCATTGCAAGCTAGTTCCAGTCCAATACCGAGAATACGAATAGGGCCTATTGAGGTATTACGTAGATAAACTGAGATAAAGGTCGGTAGACTAAATTTTATCATTTTCAGACCTGCCATTGACTACTTTGTTGAACTGCCTAGGTTAACAATCATTTCCCAATTCCAATGGATCTGTTGTGCAAGAAAGATGAACAGTTTTCCCGTGTCACAACTATTCAGCCTGACAGCCTTTTCAATGTTCCTCTTATATTGGCTCATAAAGCAGCACTCTTCCTCAGACCTGCAGGATTTGGGTTTGTACAAAATTATATCCAAAGTTAATTTAGTGTTGGTTTTGAAGAAGAAAATAGAAAAATAAAATAAATCACTTTATTAAATTGTCGAAGTGTCCTTCAGCTCTAGGCTGATGTTGGCAGGAGTTTTTTGTTCAAACAAAATTAATTTGGTTCCTATCGCTCTCTAAAACATATTTGGGAGTTAGTTTCTAAAACGACCTAAGGGTGTGGGAAAAGTGAAATAGTCGTTGTTGTGACTGGTAACATGCCAGTAGTCGTTACCAGGGGGGAGGAAAACCTTCTACTAGGTTTTGGAATGCTGGTGGGGAAACAAACAATTTTCCTAAACCTTAACAGTGTTTCAGCCAGAGCGCGCCATTGCGGGAATCCCGCGTTACAATCAGATGGCCCCCAGAAAAACGAAAAAAGGGCCAATTTGGCCCATTCCTTTTACAAGACTGCAGGCTTAACACAGGCATAATATTTTAAAAGCCATCCCAGGGCTGGAAATTGTGATCGATACGGTCGCCAATGCAACAAGCATTTCATCCTTGGCGACCAAAAATTCTGGTTTAGTCGCCATAGTACGGCATAATGACGACTACATTTCTCTGTGTTGACAGTGTGATCAATAATGGTTATTTTGTCACACATTGTGTCCTTCCAGAAAATCATATTGAAAGATCTTTGTTTCTAACACATTTAACGTAAGAAAAGAAGTCAATCCGTCCTTTTGCTTTGCTGTATTGATTCTCTCATATCGGAAAACTTCCAAATGGCTGACCGAGTTTGAAATCGCCCTATAATGCATTGCAAACCCTTGATCATTGACTACGTCATGTAGGCCTAAGGATTGTTCTCTTGCAATGCACGGATCCTTCATACCAGTATCTGACTCAAAAGAAACTTTATTGAGTAGAAACCCTTCAAAAAGCACTTACTATTAAATTTTATCATAGGTCCTAATGAACTGCTTTATTTTCCTTGGTACCCTGATGCATTTTTTCCTTCTGTAGCTTTCAGTTTATTGGCCCCTTTCCTAAAAAAAATTGCCCCTAAAAAAGATCTTCAGGGGCCACTTTGGCCCTCAAGTAAAATTTTCTGGCTGAAACACTACTTAATTACTCAGATTCAGACTTACCTCAGATTCTTATTTTTCAATGCAGATATAACATGAGCCGATCTTGTCTCTGCTTTGCTACTTTTCATGTTCTCATAATATAATAAGGATAATCAAGGTTGTTTACCAAACTTCTTGATGACGCCAGCTAAAGATCACTTGACCATAAAAGGTGGTTGCTCTATTGACGATCACCCTTTACTTCTTGGAACTGTTGCTTTTCTATCGACAGGTATGGAGAGAGTGCTAGTCCCCTACTGTGGAACAAGCTCGCGTCTGAAGGCCATTCTTCTGTAAAGTGCCCACCACCAGCTGGCGATGGACCACCTTTTCATATTGAGGTAAATAGCGTGTACAAGTGGACACCATTATATTTTTTTGGGTTGAACATGTTTTAATGTTTAATATTGTTGAATTCAAGTTCTATTGAAGATCATCGACAATTGACCAAAACATGGTTTGTAAAAAACGTAAATGTGTATCATTTTCCTTTAAAAAGATTTTACCTAGTCGGTTGCTATCTACATCTTGATATGTTCTCTTGAAATCATTTGTGTTGTCTGAGAAATATGGGAGAAAAATTTTGCTTATTGTTTAGTTCTATCGGCTTTTCCTGTAACTAGCACATTAAGACTTAGAACTGCCTTGAAGGCACCAGACACTGTATATACTTTGATGTTACGTACACTTCATTCTAACAACTGGATGTGAACAGGTAGTCTCTCCAAGAGGGTGTGTTATATTACCCTTCAATTAGAGCGGTCACTGCAGAGTGGCCACAAGAGATGTAATCATCAGTAGATGTACCAAAACTATCGAAGTCCCACATTTGTACTCGAGCTAAAATCTTCCACTCTGCACGCTGGTACTTTACCAGTTGTGATAAATAGTGGTCATTATGGTGCCACAAATTTAACTACAAGTGTATGTTACCAAGTTTTAATACTATTTTTTCTCTACATTCCTTTTCAGGTCGATTGCGAGCAAGTGTCCTACAGTGCAGTGCATGGATCCTTGGAACACGCACCAAATTACGTACTCCACATCTACCCACCGGCTATTCTTCACAACTATTTGCCTTATAGCATCCACTATGCATCACCAGTAAGTAGACAGTGATTAAATGTAGTTGTATGAGACAAAGATGTTAGTTTTTAAAGAAACTATTGTGCTACGTCGGCCGGCAAGTAAAACACTTGTCAACTTGAAGTTGGAAGGTAAATGGACCGATGAAAAAAATTGTTGGTTGGATATTTCGAATGCTAACCTCTAGTCAGAGGTCCTGTGGTGAAATGAACTGTGTGGTTGTGAGGTAATATTTTTGGAGTTTTGATCCTCTTACTTTCATGTTGCAATTGAAAATGTAATCTGTATCGAAGATTGTAGTTTGATATTTTTCCCACTAGATGTTTTTTTTTTCTTTTTCTTTGTCAGGGCTTGCCTTACGTTGAACTCAAGGGTGGTGACAAATGGCCTTTGTTTTCTGTCAGTCTCGCAAGAAAGGTCATTCTCTATATCCAGGTAACTGTTTTTCGAAATTTTAATTAATTCAGAGCTGCTGATGATTCTTTTTCGTGACGACGGATTCACTTGTAATATTGCTGGGAAAGCCGATCCTCCTTTCAATTTTTGTAGGAATAACGGGGTTTATTACTTTTATCTCTGTTTTGAATGTATGCGTAGTATAGTGAGTCGAAAATGGTTCAATATTTTTGTTTCTTGTGATTGTGAGTGAACCCAGACACTCTCCTGCAGAACTCTTACTATACATCCAATTCAGTTGCGCCTTACATATAGCGCCCTTGTCAGCACTTTCACCATCACCACCAACAGTCACAAGCGTCCCCTCTCGTAAGTACGTTTTAAACTAACTAAGACATTTATAACTTACGTACATTTGCGTTGTTAGCTTGACGACTATCAGAGGTGCATGTGGAAAGGAGAAATTGAAATGTGGAAGGGAATGGACGAGCTTACAACAGTCACTTTGCAGCCAACTCCTTTGGATGCTGCTTATGGGAAGTCCCTGGTAAGGTTTTCAGTAAGAACATCGAAGAGTTTTTAAACTTAAAACGTGTAGAGAATAGGAATAAGTGCCTTGTCTAAATTGTCTTTGATGTCACTGAATCTTACTTACTAGTCCTTCATCAAGAAAGCAATGGTGCTATCATGGTCAATTTATTGAGACAGGGAAATACTATGACTCTACACCTTTGTTTCCGGCCCTATCCCCCACTCGGGGGCAAGGAACTAAGCATAAGCACACCTTTGTTTATTTTATTTTCATCTAAACGAGCTCAAGGAGCCATAGCGGAGGATAGGTGTCAGATGAACAATTATTCATGTACGTAACTATCGCCTTCTATTGTAGGAACTGGGAGTGTTCGCCACATTTGAAGGCACAATGAACATCACTCTGTACAGTCCGTACTGGATGGTGAACAAGACTGGACTTTATCTCGAATACATGGTACTAAAGCAAATTTAGTTTGAAGCACTACATGGGCTCAATAATTCTCTCTAAAGACGGTTTACCCTTTGAACTGTAACTGTGGCTGACCCACATATCGTGTGTATGTAATAGGAATCAAGAAACATTGACAGTCTCAAGAAAACCCCACAACTTAACACGTCCCCAAACTATCTCTATAGAAAGCCCTTTATCGAACATGAGTCGGAGAGGTGTTCATTAATTGGTTTAATTTGTTTTGTCTGAGATGTATTTGTTCGTGAGCCAGACATTTTCCTTTGCATTTCAGGCTTCTGATGACGACACTGTCATTCCTCATCCAGTTTCATTGACTGAGCCAGTAATGTTCTCCTACCGTGGGAAAGGAAATCTCTTTACCAAGAAGACGGTAAGGTAGTAGCTGTAATGCGAATGAAGTAGCTAGCAATGAAAATTCAATTTGTTAACTTGCTTATATGGGGTATTGTCCTCTCACGCTTATGTGTTATTAACTTTGCCTTCTGTTCATCCATCGCCTTATCCCATGTACTAAGCACTATTCAGCTTGTGAGATGTCGAGTTAACCACGGAGGTAGGGCAAACAGTTACGTGATTGGTACCAATACATTTAGTTACTAAGACGTCAACAGTGAGAAGAATTAAGTGTTTTGAACACTAACGTAGGGTCACAGATCATTTTATGGGGAAACGTGTACCGCCCTCAAAAATGTACTGAACCGTTCTTTACACATAAACGATTCAATAATAGTGCCCTCCCAGATATCGCATATTTTACTATTTGAAAGGTTCTCTTTTGCTTAACGTTTGACAGGCCCGTGTTCGTCTGGCCGCTGGTGAATGGTCCAACAAGTTTTCTCTTGATGCAGCAGGCAGCGGTGGAGATCTTAAAGTCAAGAAAAATGGGAAACTGCACGAGGTAAGTGAACAGTTTCAATAAGTGTTATTATTTTCCACGACAAGTGCACATATCCCACTTACCTTCCTTAACCGATGTTTTAATTTCATCTTCCCTTCTAGGTCGGTACGCAGATTACCTTATCCTACTTTAGTTTAACCAAGATAGTGGAGTTTACACCTTTCCACCTAATAAACAACCACACAGAGGTAAGAAATACTCTTCTCAAGTTATTTCTCTTTGACGGTGTTACTTGAGTTTTCGCATATTTGTGCACTGAAAACAAAATGAAGTAAGTTGCTTTTTTACTGAATACTCTCCTTGCTCAATGCTCTTTTATGCTGTTTCAGTACCCAGTGTCGCTTTCAGATTCAGAAGGCCAAGGGGCAGCTTGGGTAACAGTTCAACCAGGAGAGGTAAGGTTACCGTGAATCCTTGTTAGAACTTGCGCCTATCTCACCAGTGAGTTTGTTATTGGTCCTTTCCTTGCCGTAGAAATTTCTTCATGTTCTTTAATTATCCTGTATCATCAAGATCAGAGCAGTTTAATCTGGACGCGTGCTTTAGACTTTTCCGTGAGATTTTAAAGCTTTTTTCCAAAAGAGAAGGTCTCTGAGAATTTACATCAAGCTGTTTTCAATGAAGACATGTTTTATAAAAACTGCAGAAATTCTCGCGCGCTCATTGGCTTTTTTTCACATCTACGTCATTGACAATGTTATGACGTAATTCATGATCAATAACAGCATAGACGCATGAACAACTGAAGTCAATTTGTTAAGTTGAAAACAACGTTTGTCGTGTGGGTTACTAAAAATGAGATATTTTTTCCTCACTTAGTGCGTACCATTCTGGCCAGTTTCGTTTCCTTCAAAGGATCTGACCATCAAAGTTGGTGACAGTGAAGAAATCTCACCAAGCTTTCACTTTGAACCTGATGTCACAGTGCTGCTCAGAATGAACGGCAAGGTGAGGTATCTGGAAGCAAAAAGTAGAAAATATACAAACTCATAGAGCCGGCGGAGGAGGTCCTTTTCTTTAGTTCATATCTCTTGGTAGAGTATTTTGTTGTTAACTCGCCGCCTACAGGCCTTCTTGGCCAGGCGCACACAAGCGACAAAACTGTTTAAGGACAAGTGCACACCAAAAAAAAAGAAAACATACGTTATATGGCAATGTTATTTGTCAGTAGTGTTAGCTACACAGCATAACATGGAATAAGACCTTAACGTCATATTCACGCTGTTCTGTTGGTGTGCAGCGTTCAGTGGAGTTACCCACCAACAGTATTTTATCTTGCCATGACTCCCAGTGCAGTTTGTACTAAATTTCCAGTTAGCGTAGGCTTTGCACTGCGCCGCACTCAAAAGCGAAGCCAGCAAGGTTCAGAATCAGTTATAGTAGACATAATAGGTAATTTATCAAGCAAGAAAGACCGTGTTTGACCACATTTCCAAACACCGAGAATAGAGTTGAAAAAACGACGCGCAGCCGAGTATTTTTGACGAATTTCGAGGTGTGTGGAAATGTGGTCAAGCACTGTGTGGAGTGTTTGAAATAACTTCTCAGTCGTAAAAATATATGCTGATAAAGATCAGACATCCAAACACCGCCACAGTCACGATTTCCTTTTTTCTAAACTTGATGAATTATTAATGAATTTGAGGAAACTGTGTCAGAAATACACAGACATTTAATTAAAGCTGTTCTCTGTCTCTTAGATTGGAGCGGTGTGTGCTGACATGCTGACCAAAGATTCAGCTGCTATCATAACGATCACTCCATACTTCTCTGGCTCAGCACCCGTCAGGCTAGAGAACTGTACTCAGCTAGAAGTCTACTACAAACAGCTTGGGTAAAACACTCATTCATTGTTGTAAGCCATGTTGATAGCTACAGTTGCGTTCCTTCTCTCGTGTTCCCCCAACTTCCCGCGTGCATCCATAACGTGAAAAATGTTTGCTAATCATGGACCACATGACTACTTTCTTAGTCGTCCACAAAAAGGGCCAAACACAGAATGATAGAAATCAATCAGTAAAAAGAAAGTGTAGAAGAAAACAAGTATACACACAAAAAAACTAACACAAGAGGCAGTTTCGCAGTGTAATAACACATTTCTAGGAAGACAAAAACGGCTGTCCTAGTTCAGTATTTTAAGTCATAGTCATAGCCTTCGAGTCGTTGTCAAGAATGTACATTTTCCTCTTTGTTTTGTTTAGATGCAAGGAGCACTGTTTACATCCTAACCAGTGCGTGTTGTTCGCTTGGGATGAACCTTCTTCCGCAAAGGAGTTCATTTGGTTTGTCAAAGGTTCTGAACAGAAAATCAAGACTGACCTGTCAAAGGTGTGTAGATTGTGTTGTCATTGCTTAACTCTCTCACTCCCAAGAGTGCCATGTGACACAAAATACCATTACATGCTCAATAGTTTGTCAGTTTGTATCAAATATGAACAGCAAAAAGGCCTTAGATAGATCTGTCTTTTTAAATTATAAAATTATACCCCCCTCTCTCTTATATGAGACTTGATCAACCACCCCTACAAATTTTGCAACTTTTTCCTCTTACGTTTTTCATGTCAAGTTAATATCTGACAATAACCCACACATGAAGAGCTGCAAATTAAGCTATAGCGTAAGGGTTGTAAAAGGGGGGGGGGTGGGGGAGATATTTTACAACGTCTTTTTTTGAATTCAAACTGTGTCTTCCTCTATGGCTGTTAGTATGACTTCATGGCATTCATCAAGCAATATGTTTCAAAGTCTATACTACGTGTACCACTGTGGTATTTGGGTTTATAATTACTGCTTTACAAATATTTGGTATTCGCTTTGTTCGGTTCGAGGATGCCCATCCTTGCCTCTTACTTTTACAAATGAAATCGTTGGCTCGAATAGAAGTTTGAGGTCGAGCCCGGCAAGGGGATCCCTCCTCATTTATCTGTTGTGAGAAGTAAGTAGGTAAATAAAAGCTTATTAATGTTGCAGTTCCTAGGGAGTAATGCTTTAATTATCCCGACAAACACAAGCAATAAACACGCGTTCTATGGTGTAAAGGGGGGAACACCGCTCCGCAATCGGCGTGACAGACGAACTTCCATTGCGTGACCAAATGCCAAACTTTTCTCCCCAGCGGTTAATTCTGCACTGGATCGGACAAGTCGGCGAGGCCAAAAGCTTGCGCGTCCTAGTAGCGTAACTCTAAACGGCACTACGAGCTGAC